TCCCAAGCTGTGGCTGAGGTTCTGGAGCGCTGAGCTGCATTTCATGGCATGGTTCCGGGAGGCCCGGCCTTCAGGGGCCTCGAGGCCGGCTCTCCCGCCCAACCTCCTGCGCCCCGCCCAAGCCCCAGCCTCAGCCTGCCTTTGGCTTGACAGGGTAGTGGGAAAGCCAAGGCCGCCAGAGGCGGAGGGGAGCAGGCAACTGAGGGCCTGGGTGCGGATGAAGGCGGGAAACGGCCCAGACGCGAGGAAAGCACGAAGAAGGAGAAAGAGGCCAAGGAGGGAAGGGCGGCAGGGCGGACTGCAGCGGACCCCGCGCCTGGGCCTTGTTCAGCGGCTGCGCCTCCGCCTCCCTGGCGCCTCCCGCCCGGGTAGGAGGAGCCACAGCGCCACCCAGCGTCCGGTGTTGGGGAAAGGCAGTTAGGGCTTTTCCGTGGCCCCGGAAGAGCTGGAAGCTGGGTGGTGCAAAGCCTGAGGGAAGCGCCTGGAAGGTAGCCTGTGCAAAGGTAGGGCAATTTGTGGTTGATTAGCTTTCAAAACCAGACCCTTCGTTCACTTCATCTACCACTCCATCCAGAACGTGGTTTTACTTGAACCTTACCTCAGGTCAGCTGATAATAGTCTTCTGAAGTTCAACAGTCTTCCATGGCTCCCAAAGGACCGCGATGTGAAGCCAACCTAGATTTCCTGTTCTGACTGACCTTCAAGGCCTTTCATGTTTTTACCTTAGGCAATCTTTCAAGCTTATCCCTTGCCACCCACTCTGTACATCCTAAACCAGTCTTTCTTACCTAAATGAACTACTTACCACCTCCAAATTCATTCACTCAGTGGATGTTGACTAACATACTAGAGAAAAAGGTCCTTGTCTGCCTTAGAGCGTCCATTCAAGTGCAGAGACAACAAACAAGAAAGCAGATGTGAAAACCCTTGTCCTGTGTCCACTTATCATTTAAAATAGTTCCATGCAGTCTAGATGATATAAAAAGCAGGGTGACAATGTTAAAATATTGGGGCAAGGGGGGCACCACTGTACAATGGGTAGTCAAGAGAAGCCCTCTGAGAAATTGACTTGTTAGGTGGAACCTGATAATGAAGAGTCAGCCCTGCAAAAATTGGAGGAAGAACATTTGAGGCCGAGGAACTGCAAACATAAGCTCAGCATAGGTGGGGTGGCAGGAAGGGAGGGAGATGATGAGGGAGGGGAAGGCAAGATGCTTCTGGTTGTGGAGAGCTTGGTTTGCCATAGAGAGTTCAGATTGTATTCTATGTGTGACATGAAACTATGGGAAGCTGTTATCAGAATATGGGATGATTTTCATCTTTAGAAGAGTTCCACAGGAAGGATACAATCTCACAGACCAAAAGACTATTTCTCCACACCTCTTCCAGCACTCCAGAATTTGTTCTCAGTTATGTTGTTGGGCTTTGTCGTTCTGACTGGGGGGGTGGTGTAAGATGAAATCTCAAAGTTGTTTTTATTTGCATTTCCCTATTTGCTAGGGAGGGTGAACCTTTTTGAGATATTTCTTAGCTAGTCTCTCTCTCTCTCTCTCTCTCTCTCTCTCTCTCTCTCTCTCTCTCTGTGTGTGTGTGTGTGTGTGTGTGTGTGTGTGTGTGTGTGTGTGTGTTGGGACTTCTCTGTTCTGTTCAGGTCCATTTTTTGAATGGGTCATCTGTGTGACATCTTTGTGTCTGGTCTAAGTCACTACTGGCCTGAGTTAGGTGACACCAATGAGCATAGAAGACATTCTCAGAATCTACATCATGCATTTTGAGAGATCTCTGTTTAGGGTTTTCTCCCTAGCCAGGGCAGGGGCTCTTGGGAGCAGATGCCATGTTGAGAGGAGTAACCTGTTGACACTCATCCTACACTCCAAGGCACTTACCCTCTTGAACACTCAGTACTAAGTGAATAGATTTCTGTGTGGACACCACAGAGCATGTGATAGGACATAATGGCAGTAGGGCAGAACTCTGAGCCTGTTGCTGTAATGGACTTTTGCCATTTTCTTTCTTTATCCCTGTGTCTTCTGTGCTAGCAACTGGAACCAGGGCCTTCAATTATGTTACTTCGAGTTGTTCTTTAACTATTTAACATCTAATCCCATCCCTCTGTTTTAGAGATCAACACCAAAAGGAGAAAAGGGACTCTATGAATGTTGGGTACAGTCAAAGTCATCATGGCATAAAATGCTCACTATTTTGAATCCCAATCTCTTCTTCCTACTTGCCCCACCCAATTGTTTATTCACATCCATTATGCTATGATCCTTTTTAGCCGCTCATTAATTGTTATAGTATTGCAGCACAATGCAAGTGAATCTCAGGGTGAAATTGCAAGTCTTAAGAATGAGTCAAGATTTCACGAAGTCAATGGAAGTGATATTGGAGACCATCTCTAATGTCACACAGAACCCTTGCTAAATGGGGATTTGGAAGAGATAGGCCAGTTACAACTGGCAAATTGACCTGGGTAATAACAGGATCAAGGCTTCAAAGAGAACAACTCAACTCTCAGAGGATTAGAAGTCCTTGGGATAATTGAGGAAGCTCTTAAGTTTTATACAAACAGAACCTTGCCTGTGACTGTGCTGTAAAAGCCAACATTGTGTTCTCATGCACTTTGGTCTGGAAAATTACATTATCCTGCAATGTTTGAGTCATTTTTTGTTGTTGTTGTTCATTCTAAGAGTTAGTGCATATTTCCAATTATTTACACATTTTAAATAGAAATTAAGATATTTCCAACATGTTCAACTTCATTTCCCAGGTTAAAGTCCCAAATCAAGACTTTTCCTTTCTTAATTCTGTTACACAATGTCAGTTCTCACTTACAATGAAGCCTTTTTCTAGCACCACTTATCCTGGAATAAGAAGGACTTCATGTAGCTGCAGTCTTCTCTTCACTGCTGATTGCCAGGCCTGGCTGCACATTAGAACCACTTGTGGAGTTTGTTAAACAAAGCTGAAACTGGTACCCTCCTCACCCCACACTAAATTAGGTTAGACTTTTTGCTGGCAGGGCCCTGTTCTAATACTCTCCAGGTTATTGTGATGCAAGACCAGGGCTTCAAGCCACTAAAGTCCTCCCACTTCATGCTGTGCTAAGAGATGAAGGCTGGCTGTAGTTGCACTGACCAGTGGGAGAGTGTCAGAGTCTGGGTCTAGATAGACAGGTACACTCAGAGAGATAGTTGCAGGGTGATGCTAGCCTACCTCAAGAGTCAAAGGGTGCGTAAAGCTTGTAGTTACTTGCTTGGCAATATCATTATGGCCTGCACTCCCTAGATACATATTCCCAAACCCTTCACTTTTCCTATGTAGTAGCGTACAGAGAATCCATCTCTCTGTCCTGTACCCAAGGCCAAGAGAGCCTGCCTTGCTCTGTCTGGACATGTGGGAGGCTAAAATGCTAATTGTAAATGTGATAGTGAGAATGTTACAGTAAAGTTTAAAAAGTCATGTTGTATGTCTAGAACGCATCCATCCTGCCGTACTGCCAGCATCTAACACAGTGCTTGACATGTTGTAATTGCTCCATAGGTATATTTTGAATGAATAAGTAAATTGAACACAGACATGTGTTATGTACTATGATTGAAGTGCAATGCAGTACCAAAGTACAGGAAAAGATTATTTCCTGCTGGGGAAAGGAGAGGATGTGAAAGCCTTCATTGCAGAGAGGATATTTAGGCTGGATTTTGAAATCTAAGGCAGGTAGTGATGGGCAGAGATGGGGAGAAGACATTCTAGGAAAAAGAAAGTAATGAGAGCAAAGAGCAGAAGAGGAGAGGGGACAGGGTTTATTTATAGATCAGCCTGTATGATGGTTGCTTGCATGTATGTATATGCACCACACGCATGTGCCTGTTGCCAACAGAGGCTACAAAAGGATGCCAGATATCCTGGAACTAGAGCCATAGATGGTTGTAAGTCACCATATGAATGTTGGGAACTGAACCAGGGTCCTCTCCTGGCCAGTGTGCTTTTAACCACTGAGCCATCTCTCCAGCCACAACCATGGCCATTGTATTGGGTTTCTCCATAGCACCTGGGACTGTGCTGGGTGGAAGACTGACTGGGGCCACAGCAATTGGACAAGAGATTAGCTGGACAATAGTTGGGCTATTATCATAGTCCAAGCAGAGGTCTTGAGGTCCTTAAGTCCTGGAATGGCTTAGTGGGATGCAGGGAAGAAAGAAGGGCTTGGTACATAGTACAGAGAACGACAGAATTTGAGATGGGAGTAAAAGAAAATGAAATGATCAACGATTGTCAGCTATTGTGTCACGTGATTATCTGCATACCTTATTCTCACAATAAGGTAGTGGCTTGACTTTTTAGATCCAGTCTGTTCTCAAAGGCTATGTGCTAAGTGCCATGTTCCATTGCTTTGGAGGAAATTGGGAGTGGAGCTTTTCCTCGAAAAGCAATCTGGAAGCTCAGCCTAATCATACTCTCCTGTCCTCCATTCTTAGGAAAGAGGCTCGCTGGCACAGGCTCTTTTGCTGCTCCTGCAGCAGCAACGACTTTGTATTCTTTGCTCCTGCAGTGGGAAGATGAGTCTGGTACAGTGGCCCATATGGAATGAGTTAGGGTGGTTGATTAGCTTTTAGTAATTATGAGGCATCATGTCAAAATCTTGAGTCTTGGCTTCTCTTGCATTCAAAATAAGGACTGGCCACATGCCTCACATTCCCACAGTAAAACCTTGGACTTGAGCTTTGGCCTTTCCATATGTCCTGGAGTTCTTACCACTCCAGGTTGAGTTTGCACTTTCCCTCAGCTTTGCTCTTTATGTTAATTATCATCTTGACCGCTGCCAGTGGAAAGCTTTGTGATTTCCTTGTCTAGAATGGTGTACTACAAAGTTTATGTTTTTCTCGATATTTAAACTGAGTTAGTTGGCATCCCCTGGCCCATTGGCCTCCTCAGACCTTAGAGTTTTTCCTAGAGCAGCAAGCTGGGTTCTACAGAGTAAATCCACGAAGAGAGGGTTATCAAGTCTTAGCTTTTATTTCTTTAAGGGGTTAAACAAGAGCAGAGAGGTCTCTGCCCCACAGTGCAACAAAACAGAAAGCAGTACACATACAGACACTCTCACTGAAACACAGAGGCAGGTAAAGAGGAAGGCAGAGACAACTGAACCATAGCCGGGGAAAGGAGGAAGGGATGGGAGACTACTAGGGAACCAGCTTGGAGACTCAGTAATAGGAACTAGTGCAAGAAAGTCCTACTCATGAAGCACAGTGTAGAAAATGGCATAAGAAAGCTGCCCAGCTCTGCTGCCTGTGACGGAGGGCAGGGGCAGCTGGGGAGGTGGAGGAAGATTAGGGGGTTGGGTCGATGGGGACAGTCAAATGACTGTGAGGTGGAGTGTGGTGCCCCTTTCCCCTGCCACTGGGCAAGGCCTTGGGCTGGTCTGAGCCAGGGGTCTCCTGGGCACTTGGTGAGGGGGAAGAGAGGATGGGAGTCTCCAAGGGTCCATTCCCTGGGACCATATTGTCCCCCTTTGCTTCCCAGTCCTTTATCCCCTCCTGAGGATGCAGGAGTCAGAAGGCAGTACTGGGATCTCTCTGGAGCCCAAGCCCCTGCCTTTCACTTACACATAAGCACATCTGGGAAGGATCCAGCACCTCTTACCCTCCCCAGCTGAAAAGAGCACTCTAGGGATGGGGTATGTGGCCAGGCCCGAAGTGCTGAGGGCCAAAAGATGGAGGACACAGGGTCCAGGCAGAGGACAGGCTGTGAGATATGAGTAAACTGGCAGAGAAAAGGGCTCCATAGGCTCAAGAAGCTGATTTGGGATCCAACAGTGGCCCTTGAATGAAGGAACCCTTGTCTGCTAGGGAGGGCTTCCATCTATCACAAAGCTGGCAAAGTGCAGCTTCTTCTTCCCCTCCCCTCTTGTTTCTCTGTAATGTTGCTCCAGGACTATCCTCCCTTATGTGTCCTTTTGGTCTCTGAAAGCCCCTGGCCTGTCCCACAAATGATCTGGCTCCTGTTCTTGTCAGCTTTCATTGGCTTTTAGATGCCTAGGCAATGTGGCCTTCCTTTTCTTCCAGCAGGTCAGTGCAAGCAAGGCCAAAGGCTCCCAAGCCTCATCTCTCACTCATCCCTCTAGCCTGACTAAACGAGTTCCTCAGGCAAGGGTTAGCAGCAGTACTTTATCTCCAGTCAGAGTCCTCTTGCCAGTCTCTGAACTTTGTCCAGCAAGGGCAAGGGGTGGCTAGAGAAAGGGACCTGCTAAAGGGTGAGGAGGAGTCTAGCTGTCCCTAGTGGGACAATAGGCCACAAGGTCAGGAATGGGAAGGGATGAATACTCTTTGGTAGGCTGGGGATGGACACAGGATGGGGTAGGGGAGGCTAATCTCTGGAGAGCTCTGGGGCAACACCACCAGCTCTCCTTCATGGTGGCCTGGGCTAGGACAAGATGGGGAGTATAGGGACCCAGGCCAGGCCTGATGCACTTGGGCTCAAGTCCCTCCTCCCTGTGGAGATTGGAAATGAAAGCTCTGTGGCCACAAGGCCAAGATTTCCAGGGCAAGAGCAGCCCTAGGGAGTGTGTGCACCTTCTGTAAGATATGGCCCTCCAGACAGCGGCAGTCCAACCATGTGCCCTCAACCTTCTGGGTTTTGGCTCCTGGGCTCTTTCCCCAGGGATCTCTTAATGCAACTCCTTCTGATTTTGGGGGCCACTCTTGAACTGGCCTCAACACTAATCACCCACCTCCCAAAAGCCAACTATCATTAGTGTAGCCATCTCTTCAGGCTTTCTGTCTGCCTCTCCCCTTTCTTCTTCCCTTCCCTATCTTTCTTCTCTTTTACCACTCATTCCATATCCAGTTCTAGTCCCTCATTGCCTAGGGTGGTGGGGGCAGCCTAACTGGGGCACCTTCCTAGCTGTTACACTGTGTGCCTCATCCTGTGCTGGCCCCACACTCAGGGTGCTGAAGCAGCAGGAGGGCAGCCACACTGTCTGCCGTCACCTGTAGGGATATGGGCAGGAGGGAATTAAGGATCTTGGCAACAGAAGGAATGTGGAGGGGGAGAACTACTCCCCTCTGTGCCCCCAACATTCCCTGCAGGGTTGAGGCTGGGTAAGCAGCCTCCTTCCCTGGGGTCAGGGCTCTTGGCAGGATTGGGCAACTCCAGCCCCTCCCCCCTTTTATAACTAAGCCCCATAGGTGAGGCTTGGGAGGGGACACCTGCTACTCCTACCTTTTTCTCCTGGGTGAAGTTTACAGCTCCTTGGGGGCCTTCTGGCCATTTTGTTGGAGCTGCTTTTAGGGCAGGGGTAGATTGGGGACAATATCTGGTCCCCTATTTCTCCCCCACCCCCACCTGATCCTACACCTCCTGTGGGAGGTGCTTCCTTCCCCCAGCCTGGAGCCAGGCTGGAGTTGATGTCAGAATGTGGTGGAGGTTTGTCCTCCCTCCCTGTTGTCACTCTTCCTGTGTCAGCCCCTCCTCTAGGGCAGGCAGTGTCTCCAGCCCCAGTCCCCCACCACCCTGGCTGCTGGAGAAGGACACTACGGTATGGAGGAGTATAAGAACAAGGACACAGAGCCGGATCCTGCTGGGACTGAGGCGGGAGCCCCCAGAAACCGGCAGCAGGGAGGGCTTGTTGCTGACACGGCTTGGGGGTTCATGGCGGGGATGGTAGTGGTGGTACTGTTGGTGGTAGTGGTGAAAATAGGAGTGGTGGAATTGCTGGTGGTGGGTTTTAGGGGGCTCAGAGTCCTTGAACTTCTTCTTCTCCGACTCACAGGAGACCCACTGCACGTCACAGCACTTGGTTTCCGGCCGCTTTGGTGAAGTATCCATCAACCCTGCCAACGGATAAGGAAGGTGTGTGTTGGGGAGGGTGCTTTAGGGGGCTAATGGCTCTACCTTACCTGGAAAAGGGATGTGCAAAGCTGAGGCTCAGGTAGCCCTACTCAAGAAACTCTCCCCACCAGCCCTCACATCTTCTGCTTCTAGTTCCTTTCTTCCAGGGATGACACCAGTTTCTCCAGAGTAACTCTTGGCTCAGCATATTCTGAGTAGATATGGCCACTCTGGTCTTTTTGTTCTGTTGCATTTGGCCCTATCCCACCCAAACTGGGCACCTGGTTGCCAGCTCCTTTGCCACTGATCTCCTCCTGATCTAGCCTGTCTTTCCTTGGTATCCAACCTGTCCCCATGCCCCTAACCTCTTTCATCTCCTCCCTCTTCCCAGTGCTCCAACTTTACCTGTACAGATAAAACCAGGGAGGCCTCCATACACCATTTCTTCATTGTCAGGGAGGATAAAGGGGCACCGGGTCTGCACCTCCAGGCAGTATTGCTTGCAGGGCACCCAGTGCTCGCATTCCTGCTGGGTCACACTGAAGTATTCTGAGCACAGCCAAGCCTTGTAGACAGCCTGTGGAGGCAAGGAAACAGCGTCAGCCAGTATGCCATGTGTGACAGGGTTTCCTACGTCTCTCTATGGAGCCAAGCCAACTTGACCCCAGTGTTTGGAGGAGGCCTTGTTGGAGGTGTCTACATATTACCCTAATATCTCCCACCTCAAATCCAGGGCTCCTGAGTTCTCTAATCTACCATCATCCGAGATTTAGAATTGTTGATCAAAATTACAAAATTAATCCTGTGTCAGAATGGAAGGAACTTTACCAATCATTTCATCCAACTCTATCATTTTACACATGGCTCAAAGAGGGGTTTCACTCTTCAGAGGCTATCCACATGTAGTGAGGCAAATCTCAGTTCCATTCAACTTGAAAAACATTGCCTTTCATGATGGTGCTGAGCTTCTAAATTCAAGACGATGAGAATAATTCATTCGCTACCTCAAGAAGGAGATGAGAAGAATTCATGCTCTAACTCATTGGACTACTGTGGATTAAATAGCGTGGCACATATGAAAATGTTCTGTGAACTCTAAAGGGCAATACAAATGTGACGGCTTATCTTTAATAAAAACTGGAATCTGCCTTACCAGGCACCACATGTGTCTTTGGGCTCTTCTTAATTCAGGCTCTGTCTTGTTGGCTTCAGCCCTGGTATGGAATAGATATCTCTCGGACACTGCTGCTGCACTGCTTTTTGGAATCTTCCTTTGTGGCTTTACTTCACTGGTATCCTTTCTTTCCTTCATCTAGCCCAATCCCACCTCAGCACTGGTTCTGGTGAGAAAGCTCCCTTGCTCCATAACTTGTCTCTCCTTGAGTCTATGCTATCTCAGAAAAACTTAAGTCACCCAGGGACAGATAATTCTTTGTCAAAGTGGTTGTACTGTGCATTGTAGGATACTGAGTAGCATCCCTGGCCTCCGCACATTAGATACTAATAGCAATGTCTCCTCTCCTACATTATGACATGAAAAGAATGTCCTCAGCATTAGGCAAATGCACCCACCCTGGAAGAAGCCAACGTCACACCTTTGTGAAGGCCACCATAATCCCTCACCTGGATGACAGATGCGTCCCACCTCTACTTTTACTCTTTCTAATCTATTGCATGAGAATAAGCGTGGACTCAAGCTGTTATCAAATTATATTACTCCCTTGCTTCAAGCTCTTAGATGCATTTTGACTAAAAGCCTAATGTTGAAGCACAGACTTCAAAGCCCTGCACAGCTCTGCCCATCTTTCTCCAATCTCATAAGCTCATCATGCTGCATGAAACAGAAGTTTGCTTTCTTTTCCTTGAATGTGCCCTACTTCTTTCTACCTCTGGGCCTTGGCACATGTGACCACATGGCCTGGAACATTCTTCACCCCACCTTTGTTATAAATGGGTCCTTTATATCTTTCAGAGCTGAAATTAAATATCACTTCTGCTGAGAGAGTGTCTCTTTCACTACTCTCATCAGAGGACACAGCCCCCAATTATCCGTAACTATTTTTTTTCACCACAGATGCTACTTTGTCTGCATCCTTGTTTTAGTTTCTGCCAGCTCCACTAAGCTGTGAACTGCCTATAAGTTCATTGGCTTCTCTATTAACCACTGTACTGTACGTTCAGGACAATATACACCTTAAAAATCTTATGACTGAATGTATATGAAGACAGGTCCCTTCTCTCATGAAAATTCCAGTTTCATGAGTAGACATAGTTAACTTGAACCTATGACATTTATTCCATAGGAAGGGCTGAACTGTGGATCATTAGGATTAATAGTAAACCGAGAAAAATTTCAATGATGAGATAGCAGTTGAGTTTGGATGCTATGAATGTGATTCAGTTAGTAGAGTCCTTGCATAGAATTCATGAAGCTATAGATTCAATACCTAGCATGCCATGAGCTAGGTGTGGGGTACACAATTATAATTCTATCCTGTATTCAGTACCTAGCATTGTAAAACTGGGTATAGTGGCAATCCCCACATTTGGGAGGTAGAGGTAGAAGGATCAAGAGTTCAAAGTTATCTTTGTCTACATAGTGAGTTTAAGGCCAGCCAAAGATACATGAGCTCCTGTCTCAAACAAACAAACAAACAAACAAAAAAACAAACAGCCCCAGCAACACTGGGCATAAGGAAGGATTTATATAGCTAGACTGCACCAATAAGGCAACTGTTTAAGCAAAAATGTAGAGATGAGCAAACACACACAGACTAACAGAAAAGAATGGCTCCATGTGGATGGCATGAAAAAGAGACTATTGTTCATGACATTTGAATGCCTTCTACGTTGTGCCCATGATAACAGTGCTCCACTGAATATCTCTGCACACATGGGTAATGCACACAGCTTCAGTTTTATTTATACAAATTCCCAAAGGTGAAACAAGTAAGATGAAATGTATTTACAAAGGAAGGATAATGGGGTCAAAGAGGCATGGAAAAGAACAGGCTAAGGGAAGAGGCAGGGAAAGAAAGCTGGGGGGGGGGTAAAAGAGGGTGGTAAGGGAGGTGCGTAGGGGTAAGAAGAAGCTGCAGTAGTATAGGTAGTAAAAGAGAAGCTGTGTAAGGAAGGCAGTAATAAAACGTAGGGGTATATAGGATGATTAAGAAAGAGACTAAGAAAAGATGGGAACAAGAGAACATGAGGATGGATAAACAGGTACAAGAATAAATGAGAAAGATGCACATTGAAAGGAGGATCAAAGATTAGGCAGAGGGGAGGAGAAGCAGGAGTGAGGCAGATAAGAAAGTAAAAATCTCAAGAGCCAAGGGCTCTAGCACCTAAGAGCCCCCTCCATAATCTGGGCCCTTAAGTGCCAAGATATGTTTCTGTCCATAGCCACAAACCCCATTTTTCCAGCATGGAGCAAGAACCCATGTCACTCTCTCCCCAAACTGTGTAATCAGCCCCCTACTCTGGTCATCAGTGGAGCTGGGGCTCATAGGGCCCTGAGAGTCTCCTTAGCAATTTCAGTCCCGAGTTCCTGCTTCTAGAGGAGTCCCCAGTGACATTCCTGCTCTCCTCACAGGCATTTGCAATTAGCCCAGTAACAAAGTATAGAGTCTGGGCACTCCCTTCATCTGAGAAGTGGGGGAGGGAGAAGGGGTGGCCTGACAGTAGGAGTATGGCCTTTCTCCTTAATTAGCCGACCCCCCTTCAGTCCCCACACCCCCAGTTGGAGTCACCATGGCAACAAGTGGGTGAGCAGATTGCCTGGGGAGGACACCAGGCCTGTGGGTGGTGAGGCAGGAACAGGCAAGAAGCTAATGAGGGGAATAGAAGCAGAAGAGCCACAGTGAGCTCAGAGGTAATCTAATTCCTAAGCCCCACAGCTGGCCAGCTGAGCCACTGCTGGCCCATATGCTTTAAGGTAGCCTGGGGCCTGTTTCAAGGATAGTATGGATCACAGCGCTACCACTTGGCAATAAGCCCACCTTAGACTCTGAAGCCCTGTTTACTTTGTCCTCTCTCATCAGTGTGATAACTGTGGCAGGAGGCCTGGGTACTCTTCTGAAGAAAGAGAAGGGGCTAGGAGGGCTTGCTGGAGGTGAGCATTGGAGGAAGTGTCTTAGAACCAGGAAAGGGAGGCTTGGAGACCTATGGAGATCTTTTGCTCTCAGATATTTAACTCTGCCTGTATAACAGGACCGCTAGGGAGGATTTTTTATTTTTATTTTTTTTGTAAAAAGAATAAACCTGTCTGGTTCACATGGCACTCTGACCAGAATGTCAGAATCTCTGCAGGCAGAATCCCACACATCTGCAATTGGAAAATGTCCTCAGGCAATTTTCAGCATGCAGCCAGGGAATGTCAATTTTTACCATTATATAGATGGAGAAACTGAGGCCTAAAAGGGAGAGAAGATTTTGAATATAACCTCATAAAATATTGGCAAAGAAACTGGAAGCCTGGTTTCGTAATTCCAGCTCCAAGTGTCTTCCTATTGAAAAATCCTGTCAGTAAACACATCCTAAAACTAGGGGCCAGACACCAGGGGCCTGGATAACAGCAGTGTGCTGAGAAGAACACAGCCTATTCAGCAGCTTCAGAATCTGAACTGAAGCCCTGTCAGAAAAGCCCTTTCCATTATTCCCTGGTCCCTGACTGGAACCATCCTAGATCCCCGAGGGAGCAGGAATGGCGACTAGGAGGTGGCAGGGAAACCTTGAACTACTAGTGCCCTTCTTCCCCACCTCAGTAGGGCCACCACAGGTCCCAATCAAGTTCTGGCTGCTACAGCCCAGTTGCTATGGGAACTAGGAGGGGAAGGAAACAGGGAATAACTAGAGGGAACACCAATTAACCCAAAAAGGAAGCTAGGAAGACTGTCTCACCCCTCCTCCCAGCTGAGCAACAGAAACACCCCTCAAACAGAAGGGGTGAGACAAAGGGGATCCCCTCCCTTCCTGGGCTCTGAAATTGTCAGTTTAGGGAGGACTGGAATGACCCAGCCAGCCTCATACTTAGCTTATTGGCTTGTAGCCCTGGCCAGGGCATTTTAGCCCTACATTCCTCTAGAAAGAGATGTGTGACTTCATAGAGGGCTGTGTAAATGCACAGTCACACCCCAAAGTCAGGACTTGGGGCTAGAATGTTTAGAGAGAAGGCCATTGGAGCTCCTAGGTTCGGGGTTGGAAAGCCCTCCAAGGGGAAAGCTTCAGTTATTTTCCAACCAGGAAGCAAGCAGTTTCTTTCCTAATTTCTAACTCAGTTCTCTCTCTAGGGTCTGTTTCCCCATCAAACCTTCCCTATAGACCCTTTCTTCATGGCTGCTTATCTTCTTAATGTACCCATGGGACCCCCTGGCCAGGAGCCGCAGCTGCAGTGCTTTTGGTAACAAAAGGGTGGTGGTGAGCTTCGGACAAAATCTACTGTCTGCAAAATCCACAGTATACAAGTTACCAACCTAAGCCCAGTTTTAACCCATAGGGAAACTGAGGTCCACAGAAAGGGAATACATTAACTGGATTGGAGATGTGAAAGGTACCTTGGCAACTAACTTGATGCCTTCT